AAGAAGGAGAGGAGAAGAGGAGGAAGGAGCACGACGCGGATGATGATTGATTATGACGGTATCCAACTCCATGGACCAGGGGAGGATGAGGAGGAGGATTGGGAGGAGGAAATGGAAGGAGGAGGAGGAGGAGTGGAGGATGAGGGAGGAGGGAGGAGGAGGAGGAGGAGAGGGGGGGGAGGAGGAGGAGGCGGGGAGGGGGAGGAGGAGGAGGAGGGAGGAGGAGGAGGAGGAGGAGGAGGAGGAGGAGGAGGGGGGGGGGGAGGTGGTGGTGGAGGGTTTTCGGCCAGGGTGGACGCGCCCGAGGGGAGGGAGCAGCGGCGGAGTCTCCCCGTGTTCACCGTCCGCGACGAGCTCATAGACCTCCTGCGGGAGCACCAGGTTCCTTGGGCACCACTCCCTGCGCGCCACCTCCTCTCCTTCTTCGTCGTTCGCCTCGTATCTCTCCCTCTCTCTCTCTCTTTTTCATCCCTGCACTCCTTATCCTCCTCGTCCTGCTCTTCTTCCGCCTCCGCCCACCGCACCACCTCCTCCTTCCGCTCCCCCTTTTCCTCCTCCTCTCGCTCCTCCTTGCCCTCTTCCTTCTGCTCGACATCCCAGGTATACTGGTTTCGCGTGGGGTGTCACTTTCGCCTCGGTGTCGTCAGAGGCAGTTTTCTCGGATTGCGTGTGTCCTGCTTGCGTTCGAGGAGCCATATCCGTCCTCAGATGCGAGCTCCTGGGCCTCTTCCACCTTCCCCAATATGCACAGGCCCCGCTAAGAGCAGGCAGCGGCAATTCCACTGTGGTCGAAGGCCTCCGTAGGGGCCAGGTGTGGTGCACACGAGGAGCTAGGAAGCATGCGAATTAGCAAAGACAGGTTTGGACAGTGCTTGATGGTGCATTCCCGGGCCTGGAGGGCTTTCCGGTGGTGAGGGTCAACTCCCATCCCACTGCCCTCCTGCAGTCCTCTGGCCCCTTGGCCCGTTTCTAGGCCCCAGGCATTAGAGAAGACGATGCCGCCAAAGAGGGTGCTGCCACCTTCCCCTCCCGGTAGGAGTTGCTCGAGCCGTGCGCGGAGTTTTGAAGTCTGATAGCCTACCCTGCAGTGCGAGCAGGCCCCCTTTCGGACACCCCGCCCCTCACCCCCCCAGGAGGGGGAGGAGACGTGTCGGAGGGCACCTACTATACACCTAGACCGATCCTGGCCAGGCCGATCCTAGGCCCAAAATCGGTGTATATGCATTCTGCGCAAGATAGGAGGGCGCATACTCCGATCCTGGACCCAGGGTGATTCTGGCCAGGATCGGTGTTGGTGTATAGTTGGTGTCTTCCTAACGTGGGCAGAAGGCCCGCAGGAGATGGCGTGCCGAAGCAGTTCGACACCACAGGAGGCGTTCCAGAAAGGGCCTCGCCTTGGAGGATCGAGGGAGGGGCCGCCTCTTCCTCGGCGGAAGACGGCGGCAGGTCGGCGAAGGGCGGCGGTAGCAAAGCGAGACCGCCTCCGCTGGCGGGAGGCCGGCGGGGCCTCGTTTCGGATTGGAAGCGCGCCGCGCCGTTTTCACGGTTGTGCTGGAGCCCCCGCTAAACTTCCGAGGCAATGGGAGTCGCGTTGAAAAAAGGAAGTCGAACGGAGTGGGGTCGTGGTGCATCTATTTTCCCTTCCTCGCGGCTTCCCTCCCTTAGGGCACCTTCCGGCTTCGATTGCGCCGCGATTTCCAGCGGTTGTCTTTAGTTGCCCTCGCAAAACTTCCTTGGGAATGGGAGTAGCGTCCAAACAAAAAAGTAAAACACTCACCCTCAAGAGATGGCACTCATTTGGGGCTCAGGGTAGTCCGAACCCGCCCCAGCCTCCTGTCTCAAGGTAATGCTGTCCCGTGCCTCGGATGTGGCGAGATGGCCAACGCCACACCAGCGAAGGGTCCAGGCTCTGCCGCCAGAAACATGAAGGCCTCACAAGTTTGCAGGAGAGCTGGACGGGTCCCCGCTCCTGCTCCTCCTCCTCCTTCTCCTCCTCCTCCTCCTCCTCCTCCTCCTCCTCGTTCTCTTGCTCTTCCTCGTCCTCGTCCTCTTCCTCCTCCTCCTCCTCCTCCTCCTCCTGCTCTTCCTCATCCTCTTCCTCCTCGTCCTCCTCCTCGTCGTCCTCCTCCTTCTCCTCCTCCTGCTCCTCGTCCCTCGCCCTGGTCCGCGGGGAACCGAAAGCTCTGCTTCGAAGCCATGCGCTCCGTCGGACGATGCTGAGAGTCCGTGCGGAGTGCGTCCGCACGGAGTGCTCGGCCTCCGTCCTCCTCCTGCTCCTCCTCCTCCTCCTCTTTCTCCTCACTCCTCCTCTTTCTCCTCCTCCTCTTTCTCCTCCCCCCTCCTCTCTCCTCCTCCTTCTCCTCCTCCCTCCTCCTCCTCTCCGTTCCTCTCCTCCTCCTCCTCCCCCTCCTCCTCCTCCTCCCCTCCTCCTCCTCCTCCTCCTCCTCCTTCCCTCTTCCTCCTCCTCCTCCTCCTCCTCCTCCTCCTCCTCCTCCTCCTC